GGGGCGGGGGAACAAGGGGAAGGATGGGTGAGCCTCTCCGGGCAGCAGGAGGGACCATCGGCTGCGAGGGGCGGAGGGACTGAAGGGAAGCGGAGGGGAATGACGAAGGAGATGTACGCACTCAATGACGCGATCTTTGAGTAGGGATTCAGCAGAGGCATCCATAGGAAGTCGTGAAGAGCCAGGCAGGTTTTGCGCAGGCTGTGGAAGACCGAGGGCGCGCGTTCCTGGCAGATGGATCAGAAGTGACAGGCGTCAGTGTCGATGTGAGCCAAGCCGGGGGACCAAACACATGAAGCCCATGGCGTAAGTGCGGGGTAGAGGGGGGAGGGATAGAGGAGGGGAGGGATAGAGGAGGGGAGGGATAGAGGAGGGGAGGAATGGAGGAGGCGAGGAATGGAGGAGGGGAGGGATGGAGGGAAAAAGGAAAAAGAGAAAAAAGGGATAAGGGAAAAAGAGAAAAAAGGGATAAGGGAAAAGGAGAATGAGAAGAAAAGACAAAGAGAAACAGAGAGAGAGAGAGAGAGAGAGAGAGAGAGAGAGAGAGAGAGACGGAGAGCAGGGTCGAAATACGCACCAAACACGCGGCCATGGTGGGGGATAGCCCAAGACGAATGAAATGCGGCCGGCCCAGAGGGCACGACGAGGAGGGCGGGAAGAAGACACTCCATGTGGGGCCGCCACCCAGACCCAGCGCCGGGGCCCAAGCAATCCCAAGTGACTCGGCCAGTTTCCGGTGCCCATCGGTGGCTGGGTTGTGGAAGAGCAACTCGATGGCCGGGACCAGGTCGCGCTGATGCCGGAAGTATCGCGTCGCCACGGCATGGTGCACGGCCGAGGCCACTTGCGGCGCGGACACCCGGACGGTCGACGGGGTGGCGGCGGCGGCGGTGGCCGCCATCGGCAGCATCATCAACTCATCGAGACTTAGCTGCACATGGCAAAAGAGCCGCGAAAAGCGCGACGTCAGCGGGTCCTCCTCCGAGAGGGCACCACCAGCGAGGAGCTCGGCCGCCGGCGGCCCAAGATCCTCGCCGGACGGGAGGTCCCCCGTGGCGGGGCTGGCACCGCCCCTGGCCGGGGGGGTGGACGAGGAGTCGCCCATTCGCGAGGACGATGACGACGAGGACAACAACAACGACGATGACGATGACAGTGGCGAGGATGGCGAGGGTGACGGCGGCGGGGGCGGCGTCGGCGTCGGCGTCGGCGTCGGTGTCAACGCCGATCCCATGGACCCGACGGCCCCGAGCTCGGCCTGGATCTTGTCCGTCCAGCCGTGGAAGAATTGCACCAAGTCGGCGATGGCCGGCGGCAGGGGCGGCGACTCCATGCCAGACGGGGAGGACGCCTCGCCAGGGGTGGCGGACCGCCCGGCAGGCAGGCGCTTCTGATGGCGCTCGGCCTGCTTGCCCTCCTTCCCCTGCTGGCGGTGGGCCAGGAAGGACTCCTGCAGGAGGATGCTCAAGCGCGGCTGCCGTGTCAGCCAAATGGTCAGCAACAGGGACACCGCCCGCGAAACATAGAGCAGCCCGGACAAGTGGCACCGGAGGAAGCCCGAGGGAACCGTCGGGTCAACCGGCCGCTGGGTGCCGCTGGCCACCATCAGCGACCCATAGAAGCTGCTGTACTCCAAGCAGGCCAGGGCCGAAAGCAGCTGGTCCACCAGGTGCGTGACCAGGCCATTTGGCAGGTGCTGGAGAGCCTCCACGCCGGGGCTGTGCTGCTCGCGCTCGGGCGACGGGCTCATCAGCGCAATGGACAGCTGGTCGAATACCTGGCCGAAGAGAGGCACCAGGGGCGAGTCACTGGCGCTCGGGGCCGGAGGCTTGGCCGTCGGGGTGGCTGTCGGCGGGGCATCCAGCACGATGTTCGTCTCCACCCCGAGCAGGGCCTCCAGCAGCCGGAACACCACAAGCCCCAGGGCATCGACCAGGTGGGCCGGCCAGCGCCCGGTGTCCCACCCGGGCCCGAGATACAGGCGCATATGAGCCGCCTCCTGCGGAGTCAGGGCCTGGCCGACCGAGCGCGACCCCGGGCTGGCCAGTGGCATGGCCGGGAACCGGAACAGACAGCCCGGCTTCTGGGCATCCGGCCCGGTCGTCGTGTTGTCGAAACAGGCTCGCACCTGCTGGAGGCCCAGAAGCACGGCCCCGGTCAGGTATTCCGCCACGGTGTTCAGGCTTGGGAAGAAGTTTGTCCCGAGCGTCGGGCGCCCGCCGGAACCGGAGGACCGGCCTGAGGCTGATCCGGAGGCTGTCATCCGCTCGGCCACCTGCAGACCGAGCACAACGTGGTGACATGCCAGTCGCAGGGGCT